GTAGTGGGGAGCCAGGCAGATTTGGGAGCAGGAAAACCCCTCACCTCGTGCACTAGAGCCTGAGACTGCAGGCGGAAGGTGGCGGGCTCTGTCCCACTAAGCACCACGTCTGTGCTGGGATCTCGGGTTGCAGCCCCTGTGCAATTCCTGGATCGGGGAGTGAATATTTCCACCAGAGCGCAAGCCCCTCAGAGAAGGGGTGGGTCGCCCTGGGGGGTAACAGGGGTCTCAGCCAGGCTGCAGGGGGACCCCACTGTAGGCTACCCTGCTGCGGGAAAAGCTATCTCGACCTCAAAGATAATCCGTGAGTATGGGGTGGGGGAAGGAGAGCCTTTGGTAAGGCACCTTGCTCTGCCCCAGGAGACACCCTGTCTGTGCCAGCCGTGCTCGCCTTGCGAGAGCCGCAGCATTTTGATTTTTTGTCACACTGCAGCTTTTCAAGGCCCCTGATGATTATGCACCTGGATGGGTTTAGAGAGCAGCTCTGACTGTTCTAGGAAGTCCTGGAAGACAGGCCCCCTCTTGGGCGGCGAGGCCGAGTAGCAGGAAAGGAGGAGCGAGAGGATGTTCCTGAGTGGCCCCGCTCTGCATGCGCTCTGCAGGCAGGCCCTGGAGCTCTGTGGCCCCGGAGAGGTGCCTCAGAGGTCCAGTCTGTGAGATGGACTCTAACTGGTGCCTACCTCCACGGGTGCTTAAGGAATTTGACGAGGTACCATGTCTTGAGGGCTTCTTAGCAGAGTGCCTGGAACAGAGGAAAGCTTAGCAATTGATGGCTTTAAAAACCCTCTCTGGGACACTTGCTCATCTGGGTAGTAAGTGATGGGGCTGATTCTGGCTGCCAGGTTTTCCTCTTCCTGGCCTCAGTGATTTAGCAGACGTTTGCCAGGTGCCTTCTGGGGGCAGAGCTGGAGGTTCAGGGATGAGCCAGGGAAACTGGACTCTGGGGACAGTAAGCCATTACAGTAGTGTCCAGAGGCTGTAAGCCAGCCTGAGGCCGGAGGGCAGGAAATACTTCCAGAGGAGGTACCTGAGGGCAGGTGTCATCCGGGCAGAGGGGCTGTGCAAAGACCTGGAGCCCCCCAGAGGTCTTGCCCAGGAAGCCCAGGGGTCTTCCTGCCTTTTCAAAAGGACGGACTCTGTTTCCATGTCCGATGCCGCCCCTGTTACCGCCCTCGGGATTGATGTGGCCAGAGTACGGCTTAAATGGTGGAAGCTGGGCAAGATGGATTGTTCCCTCGCATCCTGGGGAAGGGCCGCTGGAGAGCCCCTGCTGACCCTGGGTCACCCATGCTGCCTCTGTCCAGTGGGCCAGGGAGAAAATCATTAATGGGAGGCTGGCTTCTGGGGCAGGGCAGTTCCCCTAGGGGACCTGGGGTGAGGAGATTGGTTTGACCTCTGGTCAATAAGGTCTCCTGTGAGCAGGAGGAGATCTGGAGGACAGGGAGGGAGGCCGGAGGCCTGGCCTTGGGGGAGGGGACAGGGCCAGGCCACATCGGGAAGTCATTCCAGGAAGGTTGAGGGCTACGGGCGGGGGTTCTTCAGGACACATGCCCACCAGGTGTGGGCCTCAGGGGGCACTGGAGCTCTATCCTCCCTAAGCATTAGGATGTGAAATGAGGCAAGTCCCAGGTGTGAGATTGGGCTGTGAACGGGCTGGCCGTTTAGGGTAGTGGAAGTGAAGAGTGTGCACTCTGGGTGCACCAGCGGCCAGGCCCCGCACCACCGGGCTGTGCAGCTCAAAGCAACTGACTTAACTTTCCTGAGCCTTAGTTTCTACATCTGTTAAATGGGGGTGATGAGCATTCCCACGTCCTAGGGTTGTCGGGATGATCAAAAGCAGTAACATCTTCCCAAACCGTAATCTGAGCAGCAGAAGTTCCTCGTCTCAAAGGACGTGAGAGTGTGATCCCCTTGTGTCCTGGGGAGGCTTCTGTTAGCAGGGCTTCACCAAGAGCCTCTTAAAGGGCTCCCTTGTATCCTCTCAGCAGTTATTTGTGTCTGCTGAGCGCTTAAATCTGTACCAGGCAACTGCTCTAAGACTGTATGTTTAATATTCACAGCAACCCACAAGGTGGGTGCCATTGTCACCACTCTCAGTAAGTTGCCTGGGGACCCTTAGCTAGGGAGTGGCTAACCCTGGGTTTTTTTGTGTTTTTTAAGAGTATAGTTGATTTACAATGTTGCATTAATTTCTGCTGTACAGCAAAGTGTATCACTTATACATACACATATATCCACCCTTTTTTAGATTCTTTTCCCATATAGGTCATTACAGAGTATTGAGAAGAGTTCCCTGTGCTATACAGTAGGTCCTTATTAGTTATCTATTTTATATATAGTGGTGTGTATATGTCATCCTGGTCTCCCAATTTATCCCCCCACCCCTTTCCCCCCCGGTAACCATAAGTTTGTTTTCTATACCTGTGACTCTGTTTATCTTTTGTAAACAAGTTCCTTTGTACCGTTTTTTTAGATTCCACGTATAAGTGATATCATATGATATTTGTCTTTCTCTGTCTGACTTATTTCACTCAGTATGACAGTCTCCAGGTCCATCCATGTTGCTGCAAATGGTATTATTTCATTCTTTTTTATGGCTGAGTAATAGTCCATTGTATATATATGAACCACATCTTCTTTATCCATTCCTCTGTCGATGGACATTTAGGTTGCTTCCATGTCCTGGCTATTGCAGATAGTGCTGCAGTGAATGCTGGGGTGCGAGTATCACTTCGAATTATGGCCTTCTCTGGATGTATGCTCAGGACTGGATTTTGAACCCGGATCCTGCTCACCACTGTACTGGTGGGGCCCACTGAGGTGGAGCTGAAAGCAACACTTTGGGGCCACATGGCCTGGGGCTAACTCTGCCATTGCCTGCTCTGTGACCTTGTTGGTTCAGCTTCGGAGCCTCAGTTTCCTCATCTGTAATGTGGCATAATGTTTCCACCCTGAGGATGATAGTGAAAGTTCAATAATGTCGTCCAGGTGAAGTGTCTGTGGAGCCTAGGCTGGGATTGGAGGACATGTGCAGGTCAGCAGGGGAACAGAGACCCTGCAATGAGGAAAACATGGTCCCTACCCTGGAGAGCTCACAGCTGAGAGCTGAGACAGATGCTTGGGCAGCCCCAATTCCAAGAGCCCCATCATGGGCTGAGTGGGGTCATGCTCTTGTGGGAACGGGGTCCTGCAAGACTAGCGTGCCTAGAACAAACCCAGAACACTGTCTGGACTTCAAGAATTGTTCAGCTTTCTGGTTAAGATGGGCTGGGACAGGCATACAATTATCAGGGCGTAGGAAAACCTAATTTAATGCTGAATGGGATGACAGACTCCACATCTTTTCAATGTTCACTTGTTCATTCATACATTTGACGAATGTTTGAGTTCCTACTATGCTCTGTGCTGGAGATAGAGCAGAAAACAAGTGGGGGAGACAGACAAAAACTAGATAAATAGATGTTATGTGAGGTTGATCAATGCTAGAAAGAAAATCAAAGCATGGTAGAGAGATGAGGAGTGACAGAAGTGGGGGCTGCCTCAGAGAAGCAGTCAAGGAAGTCCTGTCTCAGGACGTGACATGTGAGCAGAATGAATTAGAGGAGCCAGAGTGCAAAAATCTGGGAAAGAGCACTGAAGCAGAGGGAAGAGCAAGTGCAAAGGCCCTGAGGCATGTGTGTATTTTGTGTTTGGAATGCTCAGAGCCCTAATAAGACAGCCAGTGTAACTGGTGGGGAGGGAGTGGTAAAAGATGAAGGTGGAAAGCAGTTGGGGGCTCATCTTTTTTTTTTTTTTTTTGTGGTACGCGGGCCTCTCACTGTTGTGGCCTCTCCCATGGCGGAGCACAGGCTCTGGACGCGCAGGCTCAGCAGCCATGGCTCACGGGCCCAGCCGCTCTGCGGCATGTGGGATCTTCCTGGACCGGGGCACGAACCCGTGTCCCCTGCATCGGCAGGCGGACTCTCAACCACTGCACCACCAGGGAAGTCCGGGGGCTCATCTTGCAGGGCCGTGAGGCCCTGGTGGGGACATTTATCTAAATGCGATGGGAAGCCCTGGAGAGTTTGGAGGGGAGGGTTGCACAAGGTGATTGGGTTTGGTGGAAGATGGACTACCAGGGGGAAAGAGGAGAAGCAGGAGGCTGGTGAGGAGGTGGGTGCAAATTGTCTACGTGAGAGGCCGTGTTCAGGGAAAGGAGACGGGAGAGATACGTGCTGGCGTAGCCAGAGGTGGCTTCCTGGAGAGTGTGGTCGGACATGAGCTAAACCTCCAGGGATACAGGGAATTTTGATGAGAGATGCTAAGCAAAGGCTTCTCCACGAGGGGCTAGGGATGTGGTCAAATGCTTGGTGGTGAAGGCGAGCATGAGGACACTTGGGATGTGGAGAGGAGACCGCCCCCAGCATCAGCTCCAGGGGGAGAAATGACATTGGCCTCTGGTTCATTCGTTCCCAGGAAGAAATTTGCCAGGTCTCCTTCCTTCCCTGCTGAGGACCTAAACAGGAATTATATGCCCCCATCCATTTCCCATCTCCATATTGATTTTGGTACTTTTCTTCCCATTTGCTCACTGTATCCTAACAACCACCCTGGGGTGTAGTCAGGCTGGAGGCTCTGCTCCACTGTTTTACTGGGGAAGAACCTGAGGCGGAACAAACCATGGGCCCAAGGTCACATGGGAAACTCCGCTCCATACTTCTTGCTTTAATTTGGGGGTGTGGTGGAAAGATAGCAAACTTTGCTGTCAAATAGACCTAAACCTGATTCTTAGCTTTGCTGCTTCCTGGCTGGGCCACCTTGGGCAACTTAGCTCATCTCTCTGAGCCTCAGTTGCCTCATCTGTGAAATGGGGGTGGTAACAGGGCAATGATGAGCGTGTGCTGATGCCTGACCCAGAGCTGGCATAGAGGAGACCCTGGCTCTTTGTTGTGAATGTGGTTCCTGCACACAGGGACTCTGGACTTCCAGAGTAGCTCACCATCTCCCCTTTCCCTGCTCAGGTGCTGGTGGCCGAGGAGAACGTGGACTTCCGCATCCACGTGGAGAACCAGACGCGGGCTCGGGACGATGTGAGCCGTAAGCAGCTGCGGCTGTACCAGCTCTACAGCCGGACCAGCGGGAAGCACATTCAGGTCCTGGGCCGTAGGATCAGCGCCCGCGGCGAGGACGGGGACAAGTATGGTAAGTGTCAACCCCCTCCCCCCGCCCCCCCCGACCGTGTACACATTCTTCCCGGCCTCTGAGACCTCAGGTTCAAATCCCAGCTCTGCCGTGTCCTGGCTGTGTGATCTTGCACCTGGCGCTGAGCCTTTCTGGGCCTCAGTTTCCTCATCTATAAAATGGGGATGCAGTAGTGCATCCCTGAGAGCCTTATTGGGAGTAGTAACTGAAGACATGAATAAAGCATGCTGTTGCTGGTAAATGCCCCATAAATGCCAGTCGTCATGGGTATCCGTGGCAACCTGCTCCCCACGGCATTGCTTCCCCAGGTTCAGATGCTCGGAGGGGTGGGAGCCTCTGGGGCACGCTTTTTGGATGCTGGTGGTGGTGGTGGAAATTGGCCTGGCGTGAGTGTGTGTGTGCATACGTGCATATGTGTATGAGAGTGTGTGCATGTGCACAGGCCTGTGTGTGTGTGCTCTGCGGGCCTGAGCTTGTGCACCTATGAGGCGTGGGCACTCACAGCACCTTGGGCCATGGTCCCCATGACCTGCCCTTGACCCTGGAACTGCCCAACTCTCTTCTGGGGTGTTTAGGAAGCATCACCTGCCCCAAGCTGCCTCTGCGGAGGGGCTGGGAGGAGCGAAATAACCCTGACTCCCTTCCCTCCCTAAGCCCCCAACCCACAAAGACCCTCCGCAGTGAGTGAAGCAGGCAGGACTCCTCCCTCCCAGAGCCTGGAGGGGATTCAGGGGCCAGACACTGAGCAAATACTGACCACACCTCCATCGCTTCCTACCTTCTCAGGCCCAGGTTCTGGGAGGTGTCCCAGGCCCCAGCCTTGGGTGGGGGGGAGCCGGGGCTGTAGGTGGCCACAGTACGTGCGTGCCTGCGGCCGAGCCTGCCGGCCTGGGTTTCTCCGAGATGATGCTCCGTCTGCCCGCCAGCCCCTGCCCATTGCAGTCAAGACATGACAACAAGACAAATAATTTCTTGGATCTTTTATCTTGGACACCATTTATTTTCCCTCAGCCCCGGGGCAGGACTGACCTCATGGTAGGGCCCAAGTGTGGCAGCTGCACCGTCACTGGGGGCTGGGCCAGGCCGGGCTGGGCAGGGCTGGGCCACGCTGGGCTCCTGCTTCTCCAGGCCAGCTGCCTCCCCTCCCTTCTCCTGCCCCATCACTCTTTACTGCCTCCATCCCTCCCTCCCTCGTCCCCCTTCTTCCTTTCTCAGTCTGGCTGCTTCTCCTTTTATCTGGGCATCTCTCTCTCTGAGTCCTTCTCCCTTCCTTCTGGCTGTTTCTGTCCATTTCTCTGGCTCCCCCCTCCTCACCATCTCTGTCTTTCTCCCTGCTTCCCTCTCTCCGACCACAGCTTTCCATCCCTCCTCCCCACCTCTCCCAGGCCCTCTGCTGGCCGCCTCTCTGGGGCCTCGTCTCTCTGTGCCCCCCCTCCGTGGACGCCTGGCTGTGCTGGGCAGACCCAGGTGCTGGTTTTCCCTGGGATCTGCTGTCCAGTTGCTGCCAGGGAAGGGGCAGCTGGCTGGCTGGGGCGGGAGGGAGGTGCCCTCCTGGGGAGTCCCCGGAGCTCTGGCTGGCCCCTCCAGGCTGGGAGAGTACAGGGGGGTCAGACTCTGGTCTGAACCATCTGTCCAGGCTCTGAGATAGGAGTCAAGAGCTTGGGAGGGAGAGGAGGCCGGAAATGGCCGGCCCCTCCCTCCAGAAGCCACTTGTCCTCTCATTTCCTCTGCCTGGACTGGAGACTCGGGGAATCTCACCTGCTGTGTAACCTTGCCTTCTCTGAGCCTCAGTTTCCCTCTGTACATTACAAGGGCTGTACCAGAGCAGTGCTTCTTAAACACTAACGTGCATCGGAATCACTGAGGGTTCTTATTAAAATGCTGATGTTGATTCAGAGAGTCTGGGTTGGGGCCTTGAGCTCTGCATGTCTAACAAGCGCCCTGGTGGTGCTGGGGGACCACCCCTGGAGTATCCAGGGACTCGCCCGTCTTGGCTTCTCCTCCAGCTCCACAAACTCTAGATTTAATGATTCTCTGTCAGGGAATATGTTTATCATTCCTCCAATCCCCCAACACCCAGGGCAGCCAGGGGCCTTGCTGGCCGCTGAGGCTGCTCTATTTAAATGTCGCATTAGAAACGCAGATGAGGCGAAGGGATCCCATCTGCGAGCCCTGGGAGAGGAAGTGAGACAATGGAGCCGATTGAGGCTTCCAATCTAGATAATCAATACAAATATTATTGGGAGGGTGATTTATGTGGCCAAGCCGGGCAGGAGGATGGGGCTGTGTTAGAGGCTTGCCCTGCCTGTGGGGGAGGGGCAGCCAGTAGTCGTCAGTCAGGCCAGGGGGCCCAGGATGGTCTGAGAACCTGCTCCCTCCTTCTCAGGGCTCCATCCAGCTGAAAGAATGGTGTCTTCTGAGACTTGCATTCATACACAGTTAGAATGCAGTCTGGGAATTTCAGCAAACACCAAGTATAAACAATCCCTATAAATGCCTGGAATCTGGAATCCCCAGAAACGCCCGGAGTCTCAGATCTGAGTCTGTACAACACTCAGAATCTCAGATTTGACAGCGTCCCGAGGCGCTAGACCCCATAGGCAGGTAGGTGCAAGATGCGGGCCCACCTTTGTCTGGGTGCCCTGCCCAGGAGCTCTTGGCCGACTTTGCAGCAGTGAGCAGTCTTCGGTGAAATCTGCATAGATGTCAGCCAGGCTTCTACACCAGGCTCTTCTGCAAGAGTTTCTCCCCATGGCTCCCTGAAGCTTTCCCAGAGCACTCTGAGGGCCCTGAGGTTGGCTGTTCCAGGAATGCAGGACTTTCTTAGCTTTAGGTTCGGCTCTGGAGGGAGAGGTATGCTGGCCAGGGGGCTAAAGGCTTAGGTAGTGGGACACCTGGCAGGCCAGGAACTGGGGGAGGGCCACCCTGCCCACCCGGGATTATTACATCAGCCCCTCCCCTTCCTGCCCTTGGTCCTGGTCACCTTTGTCCTGCAGGTAGTTGCCACCTTGAAGAAACAGCACTGGGCCAGGAGGCAGGACCCCTGGGTTCCAGTGGCAGCTCGGCCGCTGAGCAGCCCCCAGTGCGGGGGACAAACATGTCTGGCTCTGGGCCTGGTTTCTTCACCTGCCAAGCAAGGATGAGAAGGCCCCACTCTACCTGCCTCCAAGGTTGATGCCCTTCAGCTGGGATGTGGAGGTGTCAGCACCCACTGGCTACAGGAAGCAGGGCTGCTGGGTGGTGGGACTTGAGTCTCAGCAGAGGAGCACCTGGGGTCAGCTGAGCCAGCCCTCAGGGAGGGGGAGGGGCCCCAGCACCAGGGATGGTGGTGTGGGAGCAACTCTGCTTTTATAAGCCATGTGGTTGGATATTCCTGCCTATTTTCATTTGCAGAAAAGGGCTCCTCTACCTGATTAAGAAAAAAAGGCCAGAACACCCAAGGTTTTGCAGTAGGCCAGCCTCCCAGGACTGACAGTGCCCAGAACATCCCCGAGCAGGCCTCCGGAGGGGCTGTGATAGCCAGGGAGGTGGTCTTTTGAGAGGGTGGGCATGTGGACTCTGGAGTCGAATGGAATTGGAATCTCAGTTCCACCACTTACGAGCTGGAGACCTTAGGTGTGTGTTAGCCTTTCTGGTCCTGTTTACTCTTTTGTAAAATGGGGTAATTGAAATGAGAGAATATCTTATTCTCAAAGAGTATATGATTATTAAAGCAAGAATATTCATAATAACCACCTGAACTCCGTGCTGTTGTATGGCGGCAGGGGGGTACCGTCATAGGCTCAGGTGAAGGTTTCCCCTCTCGAGAACGGATTCGTGCGGCTTCCAGAAGGGATACTGCTTCTCTCCCCTTAGTGGGGCCCTGGCATATCAGCTGCGGTTTAGAAGAGGCTTCTTCAGCATGATCAAGCAGCAGGGCGGACTGGCCACGCTCTGGCTGCCTTCTCAGGCTGGATGCCGAAGGGTATCTCGACCCTTCTGTTGCGTGCGGTCCGGTCTCTCAGTTCACACCTGGATCCCTCCCTCACTGGGCGGTACAGCGGTGAGTGAGACCACCCAGGCCCAACCCTCAAGGAGCTCCCAGGCGAGAGCCCCTTCTCCTTTCTAGGGGCTGACTCTGAGTAGGAAGAGCCTGGGTCCCTCACTCTCTGTGTCCCCTTGGGCACTTTCCATCCCGTCCCTGCATCAGTGAGTTTCCTCACAATTGTGGGAAGGCATGGGCAGGGCACCGAGTGTGTACTGTGTGGGCTTGTTCCAGTTAGGCATGGATTAGTCTGTGATTCCAGCTGTGTCACCACTGCTCAGGGTCACAGGGAGTCAGCCTGCCCCAGCATGGACTCTGCCCCTCGAGGCAGCTCCCCCGTTCACCCTTGCCCCTCTGAGAACGTGAGCTCCTTGAAAGCAGTGACCTTTCTGCCTGTCTGCATGTCCAGTACATGTCCTGAGAGCAGGCCCCCCTTAAAGGTTACTGGATAAATGAATAAAATAATTACGGGGCCACGCAAAGCACGATCAGGGGCTGACTTGCGTGACTCACCTAGGAAAGTATGTGGGGTCTTCCAGGGCTTTTGCTGGAAGTGGGAGGGGGCCCTCTGGTCCCCATGTCTCTCATCCTGGTACCTGCTGCAGGGCTGTGCTGGAGCAAGGAGCCAGGTCCTTTGGGCTGGCTGGTGTGGCTGAGACAGCCGAGACTCTCTTCTCTGAGTCTGACGGCCCATAGTCCCTTCTCCGTACCACAGTCCAAAACGTGAGACTGTGTCACTTTGTTAGTCAAAGGCTCTCAGCTCATTTAGAATGCAGTCCAAGTCCCTGGCTCGGCAGGAAGGCCTGGTGTAGCCTAGCTCTTGACTAGCACACTAACCTTGGGCTCTACTGCCCCGTCCTTGCCCGCTCTGCTCCAGCCCCAGCGAGCTTCCTGCTGCCCTTGGAACACGCCAAGCATGTCCCCAGCTAAGGGCCTTTGCTGTGTCCTCAGCCTGGGGACGCCCTTCTCCGAGATG